CCCCAAAACCCCAAAACCCCTAACAAATTAAACATCTTTTAAAAATAATAAAATAATGAATTGATATAAATTGATTTAAATAGATTAATCTTTCTATTATTAAGTTGCTTCTTAATTTCACTATGCATTAGCAAGTTACAAATGCATATTACTAGAATTAAGTTATAAGACTTTTAAAGCTTCAGTAATCAGTTGATAATCACTGTTCATATTTTTGAAGCAGCTACTTCAAAGAAGTCTTTATGAACTCCGTATCATCTTGAATGCTACGAACTCTTTAGTCAAGCCCTCCAACTTTAGTGTCTAGTCCATCAACTTTAGTGTCTAGTCCATCAACTTTAGAATCAAGACTATCTACTTTAGTTTCGAGTCCATCAACCTTGGTATCAAGTCCTTTTACTTCCTCTTTCAATTATTAGAAGTCATTTTTAACATTCTCCTAATTTTCATCTAGCTGCGTTTTCAATTATTAATTAAATTGTTATTCATTACCCTCATTAGTACTTAGATTTTTAGAAGTGAGTTGTAATGCTTCATTAATTTTCTCAAGTTTTTGGTTATTTTATTAGTTCAAGGTTTAAATAGAATGAAGGTTTTGAATTAATTCTCCTTTAGACTTAGCTACACTAGTTCTTATTGTGTACTTCAGGTCCTTGATAAATCCCTACCATTCCCCAGCATCATCAATCTCAGTATTTAAGGGTCTTCTGACGACAATAAAATTAGGGAAATACTTATTACTTGACAAATCATTTTAATTGAGTAGTTATTCCCGCTCTACAATCATGTTTGCTTTAACTCTATATGATTCAGTTACAAGTTTCTACATGACCCTCTCATATGACTCTGATATCACAGCAATGATAAAGTTCATAAACACGATATTCAAAATCAAAACAGCAATTATCCAGATAATCCATGTAAAAATGACTATTCCATCATCTTAATTATGATAATCTTCGAGCTGGAAGTCACCCGATGATATTCTAAATGCCATTAAAAAGTAAGACAATTTATTCACTCCATTGTATTCATCGACCTATTTAGCTTTGAATAGGACTAAGAATATCATGCCAAACTGTAGGATAAAAATGATGAAAAAGATCAAGAAGTATTTTAAATCCTTAAAGACACCGCCCATCATTTGCACTAAGAAACTAAACCCATCAAAAATTCTCAGAAAGAAAAATAGCTTCATGAAAGTTAAAACAATCACTAGAATTTTGATCAAGATTAAGTTATCTTGATTATCACTTATAAAGTCGAATATACAAAATGCTGTAAACGCTGTAATAAGAGAAAAATCGAAGAAGTTCCATCCATCATTGAAATATTATCTTCTTTAAACTCTGATTTGTCTAATCTCATAAATTAAGAAGAATAAAAGAACTAAACTGCATACTACTTTTGTAGAAATTTTAATCCATATATTTGGAACTTAATCAATATTCTCCTTAATTTTTTCTTAATTCTCTAACTCAGCTACAATTTAGCTTTAGTCTGATTAATCTTTATTAATTTAAGTAGCATAAGTTGAATAGAAAATATCGAAAATGAATGATGCCATAAATATCAAGTAAGTATAGAACCTGTTCTAATAAAATGACTTTGTATATTAGTTCCATTTAAATTTTATGATATTCTGAATAACTTTATTTTCAAAATAATCTGGTCTTTCTGTTTCACTTAAAACCTTCATCAGATTTTATTAATTAGAAGCCAATGTTACAGGCAAATTGATCAAGTTATATTCTATTGATACTTAAGAAGCATTAGTTTCTTTATCATCCTTTAATTTGCTTAAAAATAATTCATCATATTTTT